GACACTTTTTCCTCCCTTTCTCTCTTTCTCTCTCCCTTTCACTTTTACCAGGATGCTGCTGTGCCTCCAGCCAACCAGAGGGCAACCGCACTCGGACATCTCACCAGGTCTGGCACCAGGACTCCTTTTCTGCCGGACCCGCACTCAGAAAGTGAATGTGCCACCTGATCCTTACAACGCCTACAGAACACACTACCCCAGCGTAACAACACAATACAGCTGGGTAGGTGCCGATGGACAAAGGACTCCCGCACTCACGCTGAGACCGTGGTTGAACACATGCTCAAGCAACTTGAGAAAATGACTGTCACGAGCACTCACAACAGAGTGCATCCCTGCAGACCATCGACAAGACACTAAAGGGAACTGTGGTAACTTTAAACACTCACAGCGTTGAACCCCATGCACTCCAACACTCACTCCATGAAACAGCTGTTTACTGTCTTCCAGAATGACTTTGCCCAAACTCAGCTGATAACAGCCCTGATGACAAACCTGCTGCAGGGGGTGAACTCCTCCATCGACAGCCTCGCCAGGGGTAGAATTCCACCGCACCTGATACCCTTAAGCCTCGTGAAAACCGTGCTGGCGTCCGCCATCACCACGCCAACTGACTCTTTACAAATACACCTTTCCTACTCTCTGGGTAGTGCCATCCCTCTCTGCGTCGACTACAAGCAGAGAAGGGGGGGGGGGGCTTTCTCTCGAACTTGCCCATCATAGAGTCAAGCCGAATCTACCGGCTCAAGAACATTGTCAAGGTCAGATTTTGAAAAATAACATTCACATCAAGATCCACACGCCGGACGGGGTTGACTGCAACGACAGCAACACAAAGCCGTCCTAAGCTCCGAACCCGTACGTGTGCACATTGACCAAAGAAATTCACTATCTCTGCCCTAACAAGCCTTTCCTCAGAGACAACACTGACGGAATCTGCGGGCTGCAGATCAGCGACACCCGCTGCCCTGCCGAAGCCAAGCTACGCACTCAAGGCATCAAGACCCAAGCAGAGAGTGTAAGTGACAGGCGGCTCGCTAACACTCCTGTGCGCACAGCTGCACTCACTTACGACCAGAATGACACTGACACCTGTGTCACCTCGCTCCACTAGAGCCTGTGAATCCAAGCACCGGAAAGTGCCATCCTTCACCTTGACGACCTGGCATGATACCATCTTCCATGCAAAGAGTACAAATTAAAACTGGAAATCCCATCCTTCTCCAGGTACCACACTTTCACCCTAACTCCAGAACGGGAGTTGTGGTTTGCGAAAGGGGGGGTGATCCCAGCTAATTGACATTGCTCCTATCGACACAGCTCTCCAAGCTGTGTCTCTACTACCCATTCTGACTACCTCACCTGTTGTCCAAGCCTGGACCGCAGACGACACTGCACGGTGTACCTCTATGGTAGTCAGACACACCCTGACACTGGGCTTGACCTTCATCCTATACAGGAGACTCAACGAGATACAAACATTTTCAGCCAAGCTCACGAAAGGTTTCGGACGAAACCCGCAAAAAGGGGGTGCCAAGTCAGAGACCAGGCCAGAGGCAGCTTCGAACCTCATAGAGCTGAATCCTCAGCCCTAATAACCACCTGCTGCATGAGTCATGATTCACCTGCCATCCGTCCATTGTGATGATTGTTGTCCGATTAAGTCCACACAGGGACTTCATCAGACAAAAAGGGGGACTGTAAGGACTGGGCCAGGGTGAATCTGAATAACTAAATACCATCGTGCTAAAATCCCAAAGCCTTTAGCCCCAAAAGGCCTGGAACTTGAAAAAACACACACAAACACACACACCACACACACACACACACACACCTCCCCCACAGCTGACACCCACACTCAGGACAGAGCGTGGTTTCCTGTAACGAGACACTTGTATGACTGACTTGGAATTTGATGTTCAAAGAGAAAGAAACTTCTTTTCTTTAAAAGACATTTAACCCGATATATTCGATGTGTTTTTATGTGTGTCCATTTGCCCATGTCACATTGTAATGACTATAATTTGTCCGTAACTTAAAAGTGAATTATAAATACCCTAGGTGTATTTTTAATGTAAATGTTTACCTATAACAGTCGTGTTTGATATCGTAAAAATGCCCTTGACTTGACTCAGCCAGATATATGTATGAACACACCGTAAAAGGTATGATTATGTGCATAACACATCTCTGCAGTAGAAATGACCCTTCCTAACACAGGTCATAATTTAATTAGACAAGCAGTCTGACAAGACAAAGAGAAATAAAACCCAAAGTCCCGCCTGTAAACTTCCAACCCTCTAATTGGCCAAGCCAACAGGAAGAGGCTGGATTTCTCATAGTGTGATAAATGACGCTCCTCCCCTGCGCTCGCTCTCTTCCTCCCGTGTCATGATGTAACGTCTCGCCTCCGGGCGAGCTCTTCGCCTTTCTTTTATTTGTTTCTAGTTTAGTTGTGTTTTTCATTTGTAGATAAGTCTCTGTGTTTAATTCCAATCGACGATTGAAAAGGAAACCCCGTGACCGTGACATATCTCTTCAGCAAATCCATCTACCAGGGACCTTTAAACGAGCGCGCGCTCTCTTTGAAGGAGAAACACGCGCACGTGACCACGTGACGCGCCGGACCGAGAGACACACACGCTTCTTCAAAAGCCATGGAAACATGCAACGTTAACTCCGCGTGATTTCCCCGTAGAGATCTTTATTCCCTTTTTGTTAGTCAAAGTTTTGTTTTCCGTAGCCGACTCAGTTCACTTCCACGAAGTGAAACGAACTTAGCCGAACTATTTCCCTTTGGAAATGTTACAACAAAGACTGTAAACCTCCGTTCAACACGCGCGCCACGCAGCCCACGTGACGCTTCCTCACACCCAAAGGACTCAGCTCACGCGGCCAGACAGGGCCGTACAGGAATGTTTCGGCACAGTCAGAGAGAAACCATAACATACGTTGATTGCAAGTATAAATCTCTTTATAGAGCTTCTAAGAAGTTTTAAGATGATGTTCCGTGTTGTAATCGGAGAGGTGAATGTCTTCCTGCCAATGAAATTCTCCCAATTTCTCTGTTCTCTCTCTCCCCATCCCCTTTCCTCTCTCTCTTACTCGCTCACGCGTGTACGTTATCCATTGTCCAAACTTTATGCATTTCTCGTTCATTGATGTCTTATTGTATTGTTCATTGTTGTCTATGTGTTTGTAAATACATATATCCCATGTAACCGTAGTAAATACATAAGTAGTCATGCCTTTATTAAATCCATTATATTCATTTTGATTGATGTTACTGTGTCTGCTCATACTCCAGGTCTCTGAAATGAATAGATCAAGCTACAGCTACGGCTTTATAAATTAAAAATACTTTTTAAAGAGTATGTGTTTATAGGGCAGAAAACCCAGTTCTTCTGGCCAGAGAATTGCGTTTCCTGAAATCCTATGAAGTAAGATGATATGTGGGATTCCCCCAATATTAATCTGACAATTGAGCTAATTAAATTTTACCTGTCTGTAAAACGTGATCTATGCAATCAACTTGTAGTTAAAATGCAAGGATACACGTATGCATGCAGGTAAAGTGATAGATCCTCCCTTAGAGGGAGAGTAAATTCAATGTAAGATTGATCTAATCCAAACATGTATGAATAATTATTAATTACCAATTATTAATTAATTTATGCAAATTCCCCACGGATTAGATCCGCCCTGAATCCTTACAATGATGCCAGAACATGGTTACAAAAGAGCAACAGTTCAGCCAAGGGCTAAGCAAATGCCTTACTAAAAATTGCACTTGTTATTGTTACATTTCATAAATGATGATCTGAATTGCCAAAGTGCTTTAGGGTCAGTCTCCTCTCGTTAACATTACTGGAGTTCTGGAAGACATGGTTTGTGTCTGAATAAAGCCATAATTTGATGCTGGCTTATGTGGTTGCACAGTGAGTGCATTCAAAAACAATGTTTTCCCGCTTTTTTTAAGAAAACATTGCTCATGTTATTGGCTACTTTGACCCTCAAACACTAGTTGTAGCTGAGACTAAAGAATTTAGTTTGTATTTTCCACATGTCGAGAAGACTCTGTTTTCTGCGTTGCGAAAGCAAATCCACTTTGCTGCACTTCCAAAGGATAAGGACTCAGGCTTGAATAGATAGGGTAAAACAGACGTCATCTTTACTGTCCGTATCACTGTGTATCAAGTGCTGAGGAAGATCCAGAGCTGAAATTCAGATATGCTAATGGTCGTTTCGTTTCCAACACACACTGTAAGCAGTTGACCAATCACAACAGAGTGGGCCATCTGACCAATCAGAGCAGAGTAGACTCTCTGAAAGGAGGGGTTTAGAGCAACTGAACCATATCAGACACTGTGAGAAAAAAAGGTGATGGTGCAATATATATTATGAGAAAATGAAATAATATTTTGACCTAGGATGGATGTAAACCTATTGAAGCAGATCTCCAAAAAAAAAAAAAATATTAGGAGCACTTTAAGAATTCTGATGGTGTTTAATGAATAAAAGTACTAAACAAATGGCATCATTCATATGATTGACGACAAGTGTACAATATCCACCGCACTAATTTTAGATGCACAGAGAAGTGAAGAATGTTGTCTATTTCTCATTACAAATAAGAGCAAAGTTATGCCCGATATCTATTACTGAACACATAAACATTATTAACAGAAAGTGATATTAAAGTGTGATAGGCTAGTATGTTTAGTCCTCAACAGACAACATTAATGCCACAAGAGTGGAAGATCCATTTTCAGAAAAATCCAAAACATTTTACTTTGAAATATGTTGCCTCCTACAAAAAAAAAACAATGATTAACAATTTACGACTCAAAAATATTTATTTATTTGAAATAGAGCATAAAAAACACAATTTTTACCCAACTACCAAACCAAATTAGCTTGTGGTCACTATGAATATTAAATGAATACCAAACACAGTCTTAAGTAATCCTGTAATAAAATCATATTCAAAATGTATACTATTTAATAATTTTATGTTTTTTTATGATTAAATGAAACAAACAGCATCATTCATCATTTCCACTGACACAGAGAAGTGAAGAATGTTGTCTATTTCTCATTATAATAAAAAGTGCAAAGTTGCTCTGTAGTGTGACTGATGGCGATTACTGAATTTGTAAAATTAATAACAAAAAGTGATATTAAAGATGTGTGATATGTTTCCTCCTCTAAGGCTTCCTCGCTGCCAGGAGAGATGGAGATCCATTAGAGTAGCTCTCTTTTGTGCAGTGTTCAACTCTCGTATTCAACAATTCCTGAAATGAGAATAACAATTCATTTTCAATGATTTCAAGAGTTTGAATAGTAATTAAAAAAGAATATAATACACACATCATCACACAATTTAGTTTTAATCATTTCAGTAGTTTTATTTTTAATACTGTATGAAAGCACAGAAAACAGAGTGAAATCAGGGCACAATAAACAGTAATTTTTTTTTTTTTTTTTTTTTTAAATGATAGATAGTGAATCTGATTTTATTTTCAGTGAAAAAAGGTGTGGGATGAGGGAGCTGATTTCCTGAAAATTGCATTACAAGGTTATTTTAGTATCAGAGATACCAACATTTATTTATTACATTGAGATTTTTTTAAATATATATTTTGGATTAGTTTTTTTCTTTCACTTAAAGGTGCTGTATGTAATTACTAAATGAAAATGAGAAATGTTGCTTTAGCAACTAGCAGAAATTAAATAACTTTAAGGGTTTTTTATATATAACTTTTTTAATGGTTTTGGTTAACTAAATAACCCTGCGTTGCATAATGCAGTTTATTTGAAAATGGGATCTTTCTGTTTCATCAAATGTGCCTGATTTCAGTTTCTATTCTTTGCTTTCATTGTAATATAACAAAACTTTCCTGAAATCATAAAAAAATCAAGAAAAATCAAAACAGCTTGTCTTATTTCTTGTATATCAATGAATTTTGTTTGAGATAGAAAAGCTCTTGTTCAAAAGTTCACTGTGAAACACCACAACATGATTGGCATCAAGCCCAACAGTTCACAGCCTGTTTACAGTGTTGATTTAGGAATAAATGGCAGTAGGTGGTGACATGTTTGTGGGATGAATGACCTGTGTGAGCTGCGGTTTGTGAACACAGTGCACGTAAGGCTTCGGTTCACTCTGGATCTCTCCACCGAAGGTCTTATAGCAGATCCCACAGTCAATCAGAGGCTACAGCAGACAAATGAGAAACATTATGATCAATCATATTCATGCTAACACATTAAAAGCTTAATTTAAGACTGTTGAGATGGGTTAAAATTAGAAACAACTTGAGTAGAAATAATTTCACATGTGTATTCCCAGCTAACAGGGAACATTCCCACAACTTTCACTAACGTTTTGTAATAGGTTATGTACAAGATAAAACATTCTTTAAGGGATGCTAACTTTATTTTGTTTAATATCACAATGTAAATAATGAGTCAATACATCAATGCTTTTTCCAAAACGTTTTTTCTTTTTTTTTGTCTCACCCTGATGATTGTCTGGTAAGCCTATTACAATAGTGTTCATTTTAGACCTGTCGGGATGGTTTTCGTGGGAAATCGCGTGCATAATGTCACTCGCCGGTGCGTGTCTCGTCATATCCGTAAATAGAGAAAAGGTGCTCCGGCTCCTGTGACGCGTGAGTGACAGAGGTTTGTTGTCACAATGAGCGAGAAAGATTGACATAGAGCACGATAAATCTGCAACCTCCGGAGAACAACAACAATGTTTTAAACAAACGCCGAACAGAGGAGAGCCTTCTGGCAAAAAGAAACCGCGACAGAGCTCGTAATAAATCAAGAATCAACACTGCTTGGCTTTTGGCTATTCATCCGCACAGTCACGCAGAGGCGAAGCACAACCAAACAATGTTCTTCCGCAAAATGCATGACTTTTTTTGTTGTTGTTTTTAACCGCTCCGCTAGTGCCAAAAGTTATATTATTATGTACCTATGTATTATGTACAGTACCGGTAAGGTTAAATAACATTTATAGATGATGTTGAGAGAAAATATTCTTAGAACAATCAATTTTGGAACATCCTTATGTTATTTGTACTGGATGAATGTTCTCAGAATGTCCTTATGATGTTATTGATATTTGCTGTTATCAGAAGGATTATCATAAATAACCTGGACATTTTAAAGTTTTAGAAACATTGTAAATCACTGTTCACGCAATGTTTTTAGAACATAAATTTGTTAGCTGGGGTTTAGCTTGACATCGTGAATTTTTAAAGGAACAATATAAACCAATATAATCATGTGAAGTGCATTTCAAGTTATGAAAAAACTTACTCTGTCATTTCTGAAAGCACATTTAGTCGGTTTTGCAGTTCCTTTAGGGCATTTGGTGGCTTTGAGGTAGAAGTGATGGTAGATATAACTCACTCCAAACCCACCCTAGAATAAAATAGGGTTATTGAATATCATAACTTCAGTGTACATTAAAACTCAGCATTTGTTTAAAAAATAAATAAATAAATAAAAATCACAGTGCTGTTAATCCCTTGCTGTTGAAATGTTTCTGTGACTCAGACTTCAACATCTCCAAGTAATGCAATTACCTTAATAATGTAAAAAAAAATAGCCATTTGAATAGCTAAACAACTTTTATAAGTAATGTAAAAATAAATTATTTAAAGATCTGCAAAGAAGGTAAGTTATTGAAAGCTTCACATTGTAAAGTGTTACCTTTTAATGACACTATTAAAGCTTGAAGCTGATGTATGAGGCATTTAAAGGTATATTGATTGAAATGCATGTGTAATACCTTATAATTCACTTAATAGTCATTTGTATTTTCTTTTCAAGTGAAGATACTTACATCAATGTCAGATTTGTCCAAACTCTTGAAGAAAAGAAAAACGTTCCTGATTGTCTGGTGTGAGTTGATTTGTTCCACAGCCAGTTCAACGCCTTTCCTGTAATTATCTGGAAGTTTGTTGAGATCCTCCTGCGCCTCCGACGTGTCCAGAAACACTCCAGCGCTGACCAGGACGAGGAGCAGAAACACAGCCATCTTTACACAATCCTGAAAACCCCTCAGATGGGCTTATCTTTAGGTTATACAGAGTTATGTACCGCAGAAATTCAGAAGAATGTAAACACTGAGAGATGTGTTGTCTAATCCCAGTGCACGAGGGTAGTGTGAGGTGAGAGGGAGAGATTGTGCAATGATGGGATGTTTTTGTGGGGTGAGTCCTCTTCCTTTCTGTCCTTTGTGTGTGTTTTTGCTTTCACATACAGAGGGAATGAATGTGAAATCATGCAGTCTGAGCGAGCGGACTGCCATCCAGTGGAGAACAGACACTAAAAACTAGGATTTTGGAGAGTTTTGGAGAATACTATATGTAGGTCACCTTTTTTTCTTTTTGTTTTAAACAAACTGCTATCATTGTGAGTTTCAGGCCAATTCTAATCTAAATACAAGTCAGTGAACTGTAAACAGAGCCGGATATGATCCAGTTTAATGATGAACAAAAGGGGAAACAATGGTCTTCACAGAAGAGATTTCACTTGATATGTTTGTTCATTATATTTATTTGTGTCAATTCATCTATGCAGTTAAAAGACAAAAGAAATCCAGTGAACATTCTTTAGCTTCAGGTCATTTGTAGGTGTATATTTTTTTATTATTTTAGAAAATAGTCATTTTCAATGGTAATGCATTACAAGGTGTCAATAATGCATTAGTTAACTATGAGCAATATAAACGTATAACATTCATTAACCTTTGTTGATGTTAGTAAATAAAAATATAATTTCATGTTCATTGTTTGTTCATGTTAACTCACAGTGCATGTTAACAGATACAACTCGTAATATATTAGTAAGTAGAAATTAAAGTTAAAGTATTGTTTATCATTAGTTCATGTTAAAGGTACACTATGTAACTTTTGGCCCTCTAGCTGTTGAAAAACAAAACGTCATGCATTTTGTAGAAGAACATTGTTTTGGTTGTGCTTTGGCTTTGCATGAGAGCTACATGTGGCAATTTATCGGTTCAATAAAATACTTAACTCACCAGTTGAGTATTAAAAACGCAATCTTCGCGTCACTTTCACAATATTTCAAATCCATCAGTTCTCACCATCTCCAAAAAGCCGAGCCAATGTTGATTCTGGTTTCATTATGAACTCTGTCACGTTTTCTTTTTGCCAGCAGACTCTCCTCTATTCGGCGTACCAGTATATAGTGTACCTTTAACTAATGTAGTTCGTTTCACAATAAGGTTTTGTTAGTGTTACCTTTTTTAATATGACCCTATTAAAATATTGAATAATGTAAAAAAGCTGGTATGTATAATGCATATAAAGGAATATATCGAAATGCATTTGTAATGCCTTATTCACTTTATAGTAATGTGTATGTTCTTTACTTGTAACTTTACCTATGTTTGCATCTTTAAAGACTATATGATCATGTGTTATAATGCAAGATGTATCCATTTATAGGTATGTAGTTTAAAATGTGTTCGTGTATAACCGTGAAAACCTAAAGTTAAGAAAAGTTAGGGTCACATTGATGGTTGCTTGTGATAATTAAAGTGGTAGAATGTTACATTTACTCTCACTTCAGTTCTTGTGAAGCAAATATGCATGAAGAAAGAGCTGATTTGGCACTAAGGACCAGTCGAAAAACAGTTAAGATCATTGACACTGTGTTCTCCAAACCCTGAACATCCGAGTGTCTCCAGCGGTTCATGAAGTTTTGACTGCCAGCAGGGTGGGGGATCCGCTACTGTAACCCATCTTATTACAGTGATCCATTCTCTCTTTCTCCATGTCCTTGGGTTCAAAACAATTAAATAGTGTTAGTTCACGATGAACGTAGATCATGCAAAACACAGCAAAGATCATTTCATTATCTGCTCTGGCGTACTTATATTTAGAATAAAAGCAAAATTACAATCTTACTGTTGAATATGCAATACAAGTCAAATATAATATGAAAATATACGTCTCTTTATATGAAATATCACGGCCAATAACTCTTAGAAAAAAGTTTTGATGGGGTTTAAAGAACTTTAGGGTTCTTGCCTCAATTTGTTATGCCAAAAAGGTTCTACAGGTGAAACTTGAAAAATTAGAATATCGTGCAAAAGTTCATTTATTTCAGTAATTTAACTTAAAAAGTAAAACTAATATATTATATAGACTCATTACATGCAAAGTGAGATATTTCAAGCCTTTATTGGTTATAATTTTGATGATTATGACTTACAGCTATGAAAACCTTTTCACAATATTCTAACTTTGACTTTGGGGTTTTCATAAGCTGTAAGCCATAATCATCACAATTATAACAAATAAAGGCTTGAAATATCTCACTTTGCATGTAATGAGTCTATATAATATATTAGTTTCACCTTTTAAGTTAAATTACTGAAATAAATGAACTTTTGCACGATTTTAAATTTTTTCGAGTTTCACCTGTAAAAATGAATTGAAACAAATGTAATAAATTAAAACAAAATCCATAAAATGATCCCACAACAGGTACCCCTGCACTCTTAAAAATAAAGGTTTCAAATGGTTCCAAACCAAGCAATTCCATGGAAGAACCATATTTCTTTGGTTCCCCAGAGAACCTTTCAGTCAAAAGTTCTTAAAAGAACCATTTTCCTCAGTGTGAAGAACATTTTAATAACCTAAAGAACCTTTTGTGGAATGGAAAGATTCCATGGATGTTAAATGTTCTTCCTGGAATCAATGCCAATAAAGAACCTTTATTTTGAAGTGTGTAAAAGCCGGGTAATACATATGAAAGGCCTGACAGAACTATGTTGAATCTGTTCTTCTAAGAGTGAGTATGTGCAATGTTAATATCAGTGGTCAGGCCTGTATTACTTGAGCAGATGATGTACAGAATATGAAGCATATCGGCCAATTCTGCACAGACAAACACGTTTGTTGGGTTTTGTCGGATCAGTGTGTTACCCCTGTCGGCGTTAGTTTGCACCTGACTGAACATGTTCAATCTGTGTTTGTCTGTGTCTGTTGGGGCAGTGTGAACATGAGTTATTTTTCATAAAATTCTAAATCCAAACGGCCGACTTGTTTGTTGGTGTTTGTCTGTGTGGTGTGAATTGGCCTTGTGACACACCTCGGTGAGAGCAGGTTTATGCACACAGTTCACATATGGTTTGGGTTCTGTCTCAATCGCTCCAGCGTAGGTCTTGTAGCAGATGCCACAGTCAATCAGAGGCTGTAGGGATTAATAAACACTAGTTTAATTGTATTCCACATTGAGACATGATTTCCATCATAGGGTACAATAACATGCTCTTATTGAATCGCGTGTATGTTATTTAAATATAACCGCAGTTGTTTGTGTAATGTTAAAGCCTCAAGCTCTGTTCACGAATTATGCAGGTATGTGCCGAGGTGGAGCAAAGCATTTTCTGTTATTTTACACGATGTAAACCTCACTTACCCGATCATTCCTGAACGCACACGTGGTTGTATCAGCGTTCTCAGTTCCTCTTTGGCACTTGGTGGCTTTCAGATAAAAGTGATGGTAGATGTAGGTGACATCAAACCCTGCCTACAGAGATATTCATCCAATTAGCAGAACACACATCAGGGTCGTTAACTAAAACTAAAACCATGTAGGAATAAAAATAATAAAAACATTTCCATTGCTTGAAACAAACATCCACTGAAATAAAATATAACAATTTCTCATTTTTGTTTAGTTCAAGTTCACTAAAATAACTAAAATTAAGAACTAGCAATATTTAAAAATGCAAAAACACAGCAAATTTACAAAAAGTTTAAAATGAAAAATTAACAGAAATATAGTAATAAAATTAAAAGCAAATATAAAAACAAAATCTGATTCAAAATAAACAAATTATAATAGTATATTGATGATACTAAAATAACACTGACAGACTGTGAAATAAATTGATGAAAAAGATTTATTAAAGCTTTGTCTACATACTATTTTATACATGTTGATTAATAAATATTTTAGAAATTGTAAATTATATATTTTAAATATGTACAAACTACAAAGTATTTTGTAAAAAAAATATGAATACGTTAATACAATAAAGAAATGTTAATTTAATATATTGTATTTAAAAATTGTTGCAAATATTACAAATTTAAAAATATAATTATTATATTTAAATATATTAATATTTACAAATGTTGTGAATATTCCAAAAATATTTATTTAAAATAAAAAATACATAAACACATTTTTTTTTAAAGAAAATGCTTAAGTAAACTTACAATATCTGATAAATTGGGGTGTTTTTGGCATTCAACCCCACACGTCCATTTCCCAGCACTATCACGGTTATTATATATATATTGTACATTCAAACTATATATTAGGCATTTCCCACTTTATGTGCTCTTCTGGAAGCACATTACTTGCACTTTACATACTACAAAATTCAATTTTAGCTTTTTAATCAATTTTAGCTTTTTGACTTGAAAAACAATTAGTATGACGTCATGCCGAGTTACATCTTGGAAAAGGCAGTCATTGAAAGAAACAAAGAGAGAAAGTCTTACAGTACCTCAATTTGCGACTGCTGAATGCTTTTAAAGAAGAGAAAATGCTGCTGGACGCCTCCGTGAGCATTGACATTTTGCAGAGCGAGCTCCACACCTTTCTTGTAGGAGTCTGGGAGTTTGCTGAAGGAGCTTTGCGCCTCAGCGGAGGTCAGGAAGACTCCAGCGAGAAACAGCAGAGCAAACGGCGGCAGAGGCATCTTCAACCAGTCTGAGCAACACCTCCTGCTGCACTCGCTGAAAAACACACTCGTTCCAGGAAGTCTGCCTTGTTTTTGTGCCGTTGTTGGGTAACACGGTGTAAAATGGCTGTTGTGAGGTAAATCACGAGTTGGCATGGCCTGTTCAGTTGCTTTTATTTGCCAACGAGGTTTAGTTTCTGGTATAAAAGGACAATTAATAATACAAACAAACATGCATAAACAAACTTAAAGTCTGCGTACAGTGTTGTAAATGCTGAAAATATTATATTTTTGTCGCATGTTCAAAACCCGAAATAAAAGGGTCTGAATTCACACTGAAAAGTGCTGCTTTATGATCAAATTTACTATTTACTCTGATTTAAAGTCACCATAAAATCGAAATTTGACAATTGTTTTTTTTTATGGAATATTGCAGTATTTAATAAATTATTTATCTGTCAATTTGATCGACAAATCAAAGCA